CTATTATTCAATGATCTGAAGAATTGAGCGTATGGATTTATAGAAAGTATATACATCAATTTCTTGACCAATTCCTCAGAAATATTTAAATCATCAATTACATTCATTCGATTGCTTGTTTCAGCATCAGTGTCATAAATATATAATTGGAAGTAGCATGGACCATTTGAACCTTTCGTAATAGGAGGTAGACTGTGATAAATTTGACCTTGAGCTCTAAACATGTAAATTCCTTGTCTTGCATTAGCCAAATTTGTATCTATATGGGCTCCAAAAGATGTGAATGCAAATATACTGTTATATGCTCTTATTTTACTTCTGAATTCTTTGGAATCAGGTGAACATGAGGTGAATAATTCATAGAGTTGATCGGGAACAATTGTTTGAGCAAGCATGACCTCTCCATTATAACAGCAAAATGTAGGAGGTTCAAATTGAAAGAGTTTTGCATTACAATAACAACATGAACGTTGGTGTTTAAGAAAGTGTAATTCTGACAAACTTGATTCGTAGTCAATATTAATATCGTTGACATTAGATGCTTCTATATCTGTTTATTAAAAGATAAAACACATTAATTATTAAAAAAAATTAAAATTAACATAATAATTTTAGGTATGTAAAAAGAAACCTGGACAAGTTGAAGTCGATGGCAAACAAGCAATTTCTAAATTAGAAAACTGCTTTTTTTGTTTTCTAGCAATATTACCATCACGTAACTTTTTTTGTTTTTTTTCAACAGACATTTTAGCATATCGTTGCCTTTGATATTCTTTTTTCATTTGACCATCCATGTCAAATATATCTATGAAATTTTCAGCAATATATTAATAGAATAAATGATACCAAAAATTTTGAATAAAAGAAATACTTAAATGAACAATACTCATAAACATTCAACAATGATAAGACAAAATAAATTATAATTTAATGAACATAAATATAAGTGAAATGATAGTTAACATTGCAAATGAAAAAGATAATTTATATTAAAATAAAAATTTAATAAATAAATTCTTAAGAAAAAATTGTTCATATGTAAGTGCGGAAAATTTGAATGAGATAAAGAAAACAACTAGAGTAAAAAGTCGGTGCATATTGCAAACCAGCCAACAAATTGTTGATTTTTATTTGTGGGCTGTTTGGTTGGAAGTAAAGTGTATGTAAATTATTTCAAATGTAGGAGTTTTGAAAATCTTATAATTTGATTGAATGAAAAAAAAATGCATAATAAAATAAATACAGTGTAAATCATTTAAATTCATTTTGAGATAAATTAAACTCACTCATTTTAAAGTGATAATCATTTACACTTAAATCAAGCTCGTTTGATTGCGGCCACCACCCGCTAGCCAACATTGCCTCCACCCGTCGGCCACCACCGCCGTCGCCGCCGCTTCCACAATTTCTGAACTTTATACTAATGTTTCGTTTAGGACGGCTTTCTTATTGCTTTCAAAAAAAAAATATTGAAAATCTTTTTTAGAAAATAGAGAGGAGTCTAAGTAAAACAATAAAATATATTTAAAGAGGAGTGTAAATTAAAATTTTATTATAAAAAATATTAAATAATGAGGATTTGTTAATAAATATATTAATTATATATAAATACATTAAAATTTTAGTGGGGCATATTCTATGATCCTTATGCTTCTCTTTTAAATTTTAATCACCCTTGAATAAGCTAATTATATATATCGGATATTCTAGGGATCCGCGTTTTGCTTATCCGACCCGTTTTCTTTTCGCCTCTAGGGTTTACATTACGAGTCGCCTCCCTCGCAGGTTTTGTTTTCTGCCGCCGTCTCTTCGTGTGTCTATCTAAGAACTAGCGCAGAAATCGTTGGGGAAAAATGAGGTATTTATCCTTCCATGGCAAATTACTAGATTTCGATTGTCTATATACCTCTTTCGTAGTTGCAATTCTTTTTATGCAACTTTCGTCTTTGTTTTTATCGATGTTTTTCATCGCTACATTTTGCTTAGTGACTTTAGTTTAATTTCTACAGTAAGTTGCAAAGTGATGTTCTGAGGGAAGCCATCTCTCAGCTTGCCAATGACAGTCGTGAAAAGAAGCGCAAATTCGTTGAAACTATTGAGCTGCAGATCGGACTGAAGAACTATGATCCCCAAAAGGACAAGCGCTTCAGCGGTTCTGTGAAGCTGCCTCACATCCCTCGGCCAAAGATGAAAGTTTGCATGCTTGGTGATGCCCAGCATGTTGAGGAGGTAATCACTAACTATCAGTGTATATTGATAAGAAAGCAGTTGGATTTTATTTTTTCATGATTTGGTATTTTTTAGTTGAGAAATTAATTTTGTAATATTTTGTTCTGCAAATGAATTATCACTGTTTAATCTGAGAGCATTGATGTTTGACCTGCAGGCTGAGAAGATAGGGCTGGATTGGATGGATGTTGAAGGTCTGAAGAAAATGAATAAGAACAAGAAGCTTGTGAAGAAGCTTGCTAAGAAGTATCATGCTTTCCTGGCATCTGAGGCTATAATTAAGCAAATTCCTCGGCTTCTTGGACCTGGCCTTAATAAAGCAGGTAAGCATTTATGTTCTAATTTATCAGATGCAATATGAATCTCTAGCGTTAAATCAAGTATATGCATAAACGTTTGGTGAATTATATGTATTTGAGGATGGTTATATTGTAAGGCTGCAACATTTACTGGATCTATCTTGATGTGCCAGTTTTTCCATTGAAAAATTCATCATCACTAATAAATAATCTAATCCAAGCCTAAGACAAATTACTCAATCGAATTTATTGGATCTATTATGTCTATCTTTAATCTTAAAAAAAAAAGGTTCATATATCATGGCACCTCTCGGCAAATTAGCAAAATTATTATGCAATTTGAATACCTTGTCAATTTGTTGTGAACTGCATGTGTTAGAATTAGCACCAATTTGCACATTAATGATCCTTAATACCAATTAATGTTATTTTGATATTATTTGAATTCAATGGAAAATGTGTTATTTAGCTTCCTTAACCTGAAATACCTTGTTAGCTCTGCTGTTTTTTTTTGGTAGTGAAATGCTAACTTTGCATTGTGATGTTCTATGCCATTTCTTTTTCTTCAGATTTGTTAGCTTTATAACTTTAATACTGGTTGTAAAATTGTGGCAAATCCTTTGTTTCTTGGTTTTTTCTCTGCATATGCATCTATTTGAACGGAATGAAAGAAAATCAATATTTTTTTGTACATGAAGCTATACAAAATATGGGTGATAAAATTGCTACTTTACATATAGACTTTAGCATAGATTTTGTACAGAATGGGATGCTAACCCTTTGCTTCATGTAAGGTGGGGCTGTAACAATGATGGACTATTGGACTTCAATGTTATAACGAGTTTTTACTTGGGTACTGGACACATTAGATGTATATGTCATAGATGAGCACTTTTTTGTCTTAGCTTGGTTACTGAAGCTATATAACCCCTTTGCTTTGCTGTAAATTAATTGTGCAATATGCATGGGTTTAAGAACATCTCTTGTTCTATCCTTCTCAAGCTTGTTATCATTATATTTCTTTGCTTTTCTTATGTTTAAAAGCAGTACTGTGCGAAGTTCTAGTGGTGGTCATTTAAATAGGTAACTATAATAGAGGAGGATGGGCTAACAGATGTGAACAGTGAGCTTGAAATAGAAGATAGAAGAAGCTATAACTGATTTCATAGTAGCACTTTCCTATCAATAGAGAAAACATATTTTGTGGAGCACGAAGAGCAATTGGTTACTTTAAAGGTGACACGATTAAATCTGAAATAAACTTATTTCTTCTTGAATATATTTTATTTTTTAGCAAAATTTCATTAGAAAGTTTGATAACACAATTTATAGTGATTATTATGGTTGTGGTAATTATTGATGTATGTCTTAGGAGTAAAATGAAAATGATCAAAATTTATGATTTCTCTTGGTTAAGATTACCGAGCTTAAAAGTTGAAATTATTAACCTTTAAAGGTATATTATCTAGGAGATATTAGAATTTGGTGGTTGAGCCTAACTTCAAATGGGGAAATACTTGTTGCATTAAAAATTATTACTGTAATAGACAAGACACAAGGGAAGAGACTTGATAGTGAAATGATGACACCGTATTAATGGAAACAAAGTCTAAATTCATGTACAATATGAAATAATTAAAGAATGAAATAGCTAACACTCAATTCGTGCGTTCCAGTAGGAAATCACAAGCCTTTAAGGAAATGAAAGCAGTGAATGATCCCATGCGTGTTTAAACTAAAGGCGAAATTGAGCCATCAACAAGCTGTTAGTGACAAATTGAATCAGGATCTGATTTGATCAACAATAATAGATTAATAAATTACATATAGGTTCCAAAGGAAGGCCAAGAGTATGTGTAGTTGCAGTGTGCCTAAATAGCAACAACTCTTATTGGAAAACAGCAATTAACATCCAAATCAGTGGCAGGACAAAACGGAACTATGTACTGAAATAGGCTCTCTGATGAGTTTCAAAACACCTTGCTTACAATTTAAACAATAAGTAAAATCAGCCTAAGAATCATAACAGTAGATAATGCATACCTGATCTCATAGGCACAACCTTCATAGTGATATTAGCTCAAATTAAAAAAAAAAAAAATAAGCCAACTAAACTTTCACTTTTGAAGATGATCATGACCTCTTCAATGCACACTTTTTGCGCATTGGAGTGTAAAATCTCAAATTTTCATCGTTCATTTTTTGAACATAGATTGTTGAACACTGGTTACCTTTTTAGCATAGAATGCTGAATGCTAGTTCCCCATAGGTTATGTATTTTGGATTTTTTTTTCATATTAACTCCTATCATTTTATGTCTAAGTGATGCAAATTTAGTTATTGGATTTCCTCATTCTGATTATACATGTTTTTTAAGAAGTTGGTTCCATGTATGAACTATGCAAGCGCCTCACATATTGCTATTATTCAGTTTATTTTAGGTCTTTCTCCAGTCTTGTGTCCAAGAAGTATTTTCTCATGGATCTTATGTAATGTGCGGTTTTGGAAATAATTTCATTTGGTGGTTGAATATTTGAAGGAAAGAGAAGTATAAAGGCTCAAAATGGACAAGGGGTTGGGTTATTGTGTCATCTGGCCTATTGGGTTAGCTTCATATCACTTGGATATATAAATAATTATTCAGGGTTTATTTGATTCAAACTTATTTGCATAATATTGGTATCTAAAATTTAAATAATAATGTTATTTAGATAAAAATGTTATTTAGAATGCAATGTTATCTTTAAAATTTAAATGTTTTTGATTTAATGCTATTTTACATAAAAGAATATAATGTTATTTAAATAAGCAATGGCAATTAAGATTTTTTTTTTTACTTTTAGTTTCATGCCATTGAAATTGTGGTAATTTAAGGAGCATCCAATTTGTACGTCAATCTTGGCTTCTAATGACATTCCAGTTACCTCATTATGGGATACAGCATTAAATCAAACATGGCTTATCATAAATAACATAACATTACATCAAAGAAAATATTGAACCAAACAATACCTATGATTAAATCAAATTAATTAGTTCTGACAAATTATGATAAATATATTTTAGATTTTTTTGCTAATTAATTTTTTTGTCCATGTGCTTTTAATGGTCATATAGATTGGTTATTTTAAATGGTTTTTTATCAGTAATAGACCTTTGAATCTTTTTCAGTAAAGCCTTGATATTTGCTAGTCAATTGTTTTGTTTTTAATGTTGGAGAATCGGCTATTATATCTGGTTTTATTGAATTAATTGTCTAAAAGGTCTAATCAATGGGTTTTCCTCGGCTTGAACAACTGAAAATACGATTTGGTCTTCTTTCAATAATTATTCCACCTACCAACTTAAGATTTCATGATACCATTCATAGTTGATGCCATCCCTGGCCTTTTTTCTTGTGAAATTTAGGCTTCGTTTGGACAATTTTTTTACTGCTTTTTAAAGCAGTTTTTAGTAAAAAATTTAAAATTGTATTAAAAACTCGCTTTAAGAAGTAGTAAGAAAGCCGTCCCAAACGAAACCTCAATCTTTCATCGAGATATGTTCGTCTTGTTCAGGACTGTGGTATACTCTCTCTATAAAGTTCAATCACCAATTTTCTTGCTTAGCCAAAATGCTGACATTTCTTTTGCAATGAAGGGAAGTTTCCGACCCTTGTTACTCATCAGGAGTCTTTGGAATCAAAAGTAAATGAAACCAAAGCGATGGTTAAGTTTCAACTCAAGAAGGTTCTCTGTATGGGCGTTGCTGTGGGCAACTGCGGAATGGAGGAGAAACAGATCTTTCAGAACGTTCAGCTCAGTGTGAATTTCCTAGTTTCTCTTCTGAAGAAAAATTGGCAAAATGTAAGTTCACCAACGATGATGTCCAAGTTGGGCTATTTGTCTTCAAAAGTTTTTGATTTGTTCATAATTTCCATATCAATCTGACTACATCATTTTGCATGTTTATAAACCTACAAGTGAGATAAATGCTTGATTTTGTTGTTATTGTTGTATAAACCTACTGTTTGCATTAGTTCTGCGCATTGGTTTACAAAGCATTCTCAAGGCCATATAAGAAATAGATAATTGTAAGATAACATTGCTGGTATCATCACCATTTGAAAATCTTGCATGAAACCTATGCGTCAAAAAGCTCCTCTTTGCTCACAAATAAATTGAAAGACTAGCTTCCTATTATTGCTAAACCTTTGAATTACAAATGAATAGAATGTAAATATATATATATTTTGGCTAAAAACATTTTAAGTAAAATGCACTCTAGTGAGGAGAAATTATTCTGTGTGGACATCGGACGGTCCGGAAACCAACCAGGATGCGCCACGTCACCCGGTACACAGCGGTCCCGAATAAAAAAATGACGTGGCACATTATGGTTGGTCTCCGGATGCTGTCCGGGTCTGCACATAATAATTTTTCCTAGTGAGAGCTTGATTTTATCCTTTTTTGTGTTTTCATCTGCTTAACACTATAGCAGGACACCATTTGTCCAATTTTAACCTGTTTCAGGCTTAGTTCAGTAATCAGTCTTGATCTTTAGAACAAGAAATTTTCCTTGAGCTTAATCTTCTGGAGCCATTTCACTGTATAGTGTAGGATTGAAATATTATGCTATGTCTATTGTTCTGATTGAGATTTTCTTACCATTTAGATATATAATAACAACTCTCTTAAATGCACAGGTGAGGTGCTTATATTTGAAGAGCACAATGGGGAAGCCTTACAGAGTCTTCTAAACTCCCACAACCTTTAAAAGACTGAATTTGCCGATAGACAAATTGAGCGGATTCCAGCGGGTTTTGCAGTCTAAATCTTATTTATTACTGTTCTAGTTTTGTTTCCTGTGCTTTGTAGTGCATGAAATTGCTTTATTTTCCTGTAATCATCAAAGATTTTGGATTGGATTCTGCCTTGTGTTGGCTTTTGTTGTATGGATTTAAATCTGTTTGCTTTCTATTTAATTGCTACTCATTCAGCTTGGTAGTTTATCTGAAGATGGAATGTTATACAAGTAAATATAAATATTTATATGTTAAATATATAAATACACTAATTTGATGGAGAAGAATTTCACCCGCAAATTAAGGGGCTATTTGGTTTGAGGTAAAGTGGATGTAAAATAAATATTTTATATGGATGAAATTGTTGGTGTTTGCTTGGATGAGAAAGGAATTAAGTGTTTTAGTTCATTTTGAGGTGAATTAAACTCGCTTAATTTTGACACTGCAAGCATCTTCTCGTGCCATTGTTTGTCGTGTTAGCCAGTAGTTGCTGTCACTCTCGCTGCAGCCATCATTGCCACCACCATTGTCAGCCTCTACCTGACACCATCGTTGATGACTATCGATCACCACTGCCATTGATCAACGCTGTCAACCATCAAACATTGTTGGTTGCCATCGCTACTGTTGGTCGCCACCACTCATTATCATCATCAATTGCCTGCCATTGGCATTGTGCCTATAGTTGCTACTATCCTTAGACTTTACATTCATTTTACTTCAAAAAAATTGAACATTCACTTGAATTTATTTTAAATTTATTCAAATAAAGTCAATTTTTTTTACATAGCATTTCTTTTTAATTGCATTCTTTACAGAACTTTTTTTCTCGAGGAAAATATAACTTTTGAAGGTTCAGACTGAAAATATGTTCAAAATCAAGCCCAATATTATTAAATTTAGATTTCTTAATTAAGGTTTTATATAATAAAATTGTGCTTATTTCATGATATAAGATTATAATTATATAGGTATTTTATTTTACAAATGTGTGAGATTTAAAGTTTAAATATATTTTAAACAAAAATGTAATATTGAAAAAAAAATATTGAAAAATGAACTCATCATTAAAATTAACATACAATTCCTTATATTTATATAAAAAATATAGTACAAGTTTAGAAAAAATGTGGTCATAAATTTTCATGAAGTAAAATAGACAATAATATTTAACTTTATATGTAGAAAAAATATCTCTTATATTTATTTTTTTTTAGAGAAATATGTTTGAAAGTTATTTTGGGGCAAAATTATCTCCAATGAGAGTAACTTTTTCTATTTGCAAAGTGCACGATGACATTTAAGTCATTCTAAATTAGTGTGACCTAATTTAAAATTTGAAAACTAGTTGAAGGTTTAAGGTTTTGTTTGGGATAATTTTTTTATTGCTTCTTTAAGTAGCTTTTTAGTACAAAAAATATATTTTTTACTAAAAAGCTATTTTATGATGCAGTAAAAAAACTGTCTTAAACGAAGCTTAAGGCTTGTTTGGAACAATTTTTTTATTGCTTTTTAAAGTAGTTTTTAGTACAAAAATTAAAAATTTTGTATTAAAAATATGATTTAAGAAATAGTACAAAAGTCATCCCAAACCAAGCCTAAAACTTTGTTTGGAATGACTTCCTTACTTCTTCTTAAAGTAACTTTTTAGTCCAAAAATTTTAATTTTTCTATTAAAAAGTTACTTTAAGAAGCAATAAGAAAGTTGTCTGTTGTCCCAAACAAGCCTAAGTCTAAGGTTTTGTTTGGGATAATTTTTTATTGTTTCTTAAAGTAGTTTTTTAGTACAAAAAATATATTTTTGTACTAAAAAGTTGCTTTATGATGAAATAAAAAAGCTGTCTTAAATGCCTAAGGCTTGTTTGAGACAATTTTTTTATTGCTTTTTAAAGTAGCTTTTTACAAAAATTAAAAATTTTGTACTAAAAAATTGATTTAAGAAACAGTAAGAAAGTCGCCCCAAATGAAGCCTAAAACTTTATTTGGAATGGCTTTCTTACTTCTTCTTAAAGCAACTTTTAGTCCAAAAATTTTAATTTTTATGTTAAAAAGTTACTTTAAGAAGCAATAAGAAAGCTGCCCCGAATGAAGCCTAAGTCTACTTTAAAATGTGTTTCAACTCGGCCCATTCCTTTATCTCTCATAGGCATCTTAGGGGGAAAGCATCCATATGACATGAGTACTTTGTGGAGTTATTGATGTGAGAAGAAGAGGATTTCATCAACATAGCTCATTATGGAAGGCAATGATGGGACCAATTAAGTGTGAGAAGAAGAGGATTTCATCAACATAAATACCACTATATATCAAGTTATTTATATAACTAACACTTAAAAATGAATATTTCATACCTACCATTTGATCACCCATATATCAAATAGAGGTGCAAGGACTGAAATATTAAAGTTTATAGAGTGATACGAGTTGTCGGAATGAAATATATAAGTAACATATTTGAAATTAAAACTGTATATAAATGATAAATATTAAATATGTAAATATCATGATATAAAATGATATATATATATATATATATATATATCCCTAAAATTAAAATATAACTGATTATTGTATGAAAAAATAAAATTATGAAAAAGCAGCTGTACACATAGCTATGTCATTAATACAAAAGCCTTTTTTTTTTTTAACATTGTTTTCTAAATTGGTGTATGGATTGAATTATTTTATGCTTAGACACATACTTTAATTCAAGTCTTTGATTTTATTTGGGCCTCTAATTTGAATTCAAATTCTAAATACTTGTTCTTCTTTATTCCTTGATGTTATATCTATGTCATTTGGAAAGAAAGAAATTACAAGAAGTTTGATAATATATTTTGTTGTTCTAACGTTATTTGCAAGAATATTAGGTTTGATATTCGAGGTAAGATTTCTAATCAAACTTCTTATCATGAAGTCAAGTATTTTGTTTATTAAGCTATGGGTGTCCTTATGGTTTTATTTCTTTGTTTTTTGTTCTTCGGCTATTGATTTCGACAACAAGGTTGTTGCCTGGTTGGTTGGGATTTTTAGCTAAAGGTTGGTTTTAGATGTTTTTTGGTATTGTAATTTTTTGTATGTTCATACTCTCTTATGTAGCAGGTTCTGTTGTTGTTTCCCAGGGTTTGGTTCTTGTAGGTTTAAGCATGTTTGTTTTTTATGTTGGATTGTTTGGACTTAGTGTAGGGATCCTTCTTTTTTCTTCTTTTGAATGGTTGGCTCGGCAATCAAGTTATTACCTTGGAAGGTTTGATCTGAACCCTTCTTTGGGTTGATGATGATTTTGGTGCTGCTGAATGATCATGTTTTGCTAAAGGTTTCCCATCCCGAGTCTTATTGGTGGGGGTTGCTGGATTGTTTCTACTTTTGGTTTTGTTTGTTTTTTTCTTATATATCCTTTGTGTATAGATTCTGGTTTATGTTGGAGCAGTATAAATGATGCTTATGGGTTTTAGAGCTTATGGGTGGATTTGTTGTTGTTTGTGTTGGTTTTGCTGAAGTTTCAGGTTATGTGTGAAAGCAGTTGGAAGGTTGATTTAGATTCTTGAGCTGTCGGATGGCTTTAGAAGTTATTTTTCTGATCTGACTTTGGAAGCTATTTTCCTGCTATTTGATCATATTTTGATCAAAGTCTCCCATGTTGAGTCTTGCTATGATATCCTTGAAAAAAGCTTTGATGATTATTGCCTTTTTATTAGGGGTGTCAATTCGGGTCAACGGGTCAGGTTCGGGTCGAACCTGGAATTGACCCGACACTATTCGGGTCAACCCGAACCTGACCCTGTTTTAAAAACGGGCCAGGTTTTCGGACCCGAACCCGACCCGATTCGGGTCCGGGTCAACCCGACTCGACAAGAATGACCCGGGGTTGACCCAAAATTGCTTGTTTTTGGGTAAAAAATCGGGTCAATCTTTGATTTACGGGTAAAAAACGGGTCAATCTTGGGTTTAGGGTCAAATACAAGTTTTCGTGTCAATTTCAGGTCATTTTTTGGTCAATTTTGGATTGCTGAGTTATCCCGAACCAGACCCGATTTTTAAAACGGGTTGATCTGTTGAACCCGAACCCAACCAGATTGGGTCCGAGTTGACTCGAACCCAAATTTTTTCGGGTCGTACTTGAGTCGGGTTTCGAGTCGTGTCAAAAATTGACACCCCTACTTTTTACTGACTTGCATCTCCAAGTTGTTATTAAAGGCATAGTAGAACTTGATTGTCTTATTATTTTCTTTTTGTAACTTTTATCCTTTTTAAGGAGCCTTTTTTGTTTGATTAACCTTTTAAAAGGCTTCTTAAATTTTTTTTTTCAATTTTGTAAGTTTTTTCATTAATTTTTATTACAACTTTATCGTAATCTACTTTTAAACTTTGATTTGGAATGAAATTGTGTTGATCTCTCGGCGCGATCTGCATTGCTTTTTCATATCTTCTTGGAAGAGGGGAAGACGCCCATTGCGACGAGCAATGGCGGATCGCTCAACCTTCACCGACGCCCGACCGCCGATCGCTACATTGCACTTCATGCTCGTCCCCTTATTCTTTCCTTAGTTACCGAAGCGCATTTGTCCTTACTGGACAACCCTAGTTGAAGAATTCAAATGCCGGGGCCGTAATTGCATTTCCTTTTGGTTCCAATGTTAGCTCCTCTTTCATTTTATATGCAGTATCTTCTTCGCCCTAGTTGTTGTTGGTGCCTACTTTCCTTGATATTTGGAGAGTTTTTGATGGTATTAAACTGTAGTATTTTCACTAGGGTTTTATGCTCTTAACTGGGTTTTTGAGAACTTCAGATGATAACTTCTAATAGATTTTTTATTGGATTAGAATATCGAAGCATGAATCATTTCCCTTGATGAATTTGAATTTAGAAACATGCTTGCTTGTAAAAACCGTGGAGTAGCATTTAACAGAATGCATTCGGAGTTTTTAGGACTATTATGGATTTATAAGGCTTTTCTTTTGATGAAATTAACACCAGAGTTCCTGCGTAGCGTTAATTTGGTCCTTGTTGGGAAGATGTCACGAATGTTTTCGGTTTCAGACCATTTTTGTACGCTAACAGCCAAATTATGGCTCATAGACGCCCTTGAGCTAGAGACATTGACTGCTTGTGCTGTCAGGAGCCAAGTCATCATCATTATTTCTTGAGAGACGGTTGGGGACGAGTTTTCATTGTTTTTGTTGAAAGTAGTGGTTGTAATATTGGT